GCTACTTCTGGACATTTTTTTGTTAAACCCATTCTACAAAATTTGCAACAACATTAACAACAACAGTTACTTGTTTATGTTTTGGAATATTTTGTAGTGTTGTTAAAAAGAAAATAATGGAGTCTTCATTATGCATGCCAGCATAGTTAATTTAGGAATTTGGTTAGTCTGGCAAGCAGAYTTTCTCATGTCATGGAAAATGAAGTTACAAAGTTGGCAGACCCTGACCTTGAGGAGTCGTTGTTGTCAGCGGCAAAGGCAATTGAAGTACAATTTCARCAAAATCTTCGGAAATTCCAGTTCATTTCTTAAAAAATACACGAATACTTCATGTCACGATTTTTGTAGGAAGATTGAACCCTAGACCACCTAACTATTGCCTGACTGAGAAAACGAAAGAACGAATGCGCACGCTTTTACGCTAGTATAGCTCGCTAGTATTAGTATCCGCGCTGTCTATACTAAGTAAAATGCGGATTACCTGTGGTATCACTTCACGATCCCGTGCCTCGCGGGATAGCCTTTTCGAACTGAGTGAGAAAATGGCGGAATAAATCAATCAAATATATTGAGTCAAGTTCAATCGAAGATCATTTTTATGGATCATTCTTGTGTCATTCTTGTTCATTCTCGGTCATTCCAGCTCGTTCTGGATCATTCCAGGTCATTCTCGGTCTTTCCAGGTAATTCATTGTTTTAGTAACTACCGTTTTCACACACACGTCTGAGACAATTATCAAAACACTGCAAATTTCCCGACGTAAACAAAGAGATTAAAGAACAGATCATACTCAACTGCACATCAAAAGCATTAAGACGAAAAGKTCTTCGTGAAGAACAAGATTTACCGAATCTCCTCAAGGCTGGGAGAGCACTAGAAGTAAGCGAAACTCAGGCGAGAGAAGTTGAGCAACCCGAATCGAAGACAAACGTGATAAGATCAAAGAAACCGTCATTAACTCCACACAGAGCAAGAAAAGACAGACAACCCGAGAAAGGAACACCGTCGCTACTCACCAACCAAACCAAAGCAATGTGGACTTTGTGGGGGAGAATACCCGTACAAAAAAAGCCCTTTGTAAAGCTAAGGGCAAAACTTGTAATTYATGTGGCAAACTAAATTATTTCGCCAAAGTTTGCCGATCGAAACCAACCCAAAGAAACCACAACGTCACTCGAGAGCAAGATGTCACGCAACAGGATGTCACGCAAGACTACGAAGACTACACAGAGGACTACACCTACACCATCAGAAATCCATCAGAGAACAAGAAATCACCAATGTGTGAAATCAACATAGATGAAGCAAAAGTAACAATCATGATCGACTGCGGATCCTCTGTTAACCTTATCGATGAACCAACGTTTCAAAAGATCCACAACACGTCACTCAAGCAGCTACAACCGAGTAAGCATCGAATCTATTCTTACGGCAATAAGGCGYCGCTACAATTAGTAGGAACATTTGAAGCGACGATCGAATCTTACAACCATACCAAAACCAACACACTCGTACACGTGATCAGCGGTAATTATGAAAATCTTCTAGATCTGGATACCGCGCTCGAGCTTGGCCTGCTCAAAWTCGTYAACCAAACTACCAMCAMCACAGATCTATTGACACACGTCAACCAAGAATATCAATGCCTTTTTGATGGCATAGGAAAGATCAAGAATAATGTCATAAAGCTCCAGATCGACACATATGTACAACCTAAACAAYAACCACATCGCAGGATCCCTTTTCACAACCGAAAAGATGTAGAGAAGGAACTAGAAAGACTTGAAACCCTAGACATCATCGAAGAAGTTAGTGGTCCCACATCATGGGTGAGCCCTGTTGTAACAGTGCCTAAAAAGTCTGGAGAAGTGCGCCTATGCGTCGAAATGAGGGCGGCCAACAAGGCAGTGAAGCGAGAAAAACACTTGATGCCCACCATGGATGACCTAAACGGTGCGACCGATTTTAGCAAACTCGACCTATCATCAGGATACCACCAACTTGAGCTCCATCCTGACAACCGCCACATAACGACGTTCAGCACGCACGTTGGACTAAAACGTTACAAGCGTCTGATGTTTGGCATAAATGCCGCTTCAGAAGGTTTTCAGAATGCGATCGAACAGATCCTAACAGGCTTGCCGGGATGCAGGAACATATCTGATGAAATTATCATATACGGGAAAAACCAGAAAGAGCACGAACAGAACCTCCAGCAAGTACTCCAGAGACTTAAGGAACATGACGTTCKTTTACACAAGGCCTCGGCGCCCTTCTAGTACAGAACGGAAAAGTCGTCAGCTATGCCAGCCGTGCGCTCACTGATGTAGAACAAAGATACTMTCAGACAGAAAGAGAGATGCTAGCTTTTTGTGTGGTCAATGGAACACTTTCATCTCTATCTATACGGATCATCATTCAGAATCGTCACAGACCACAAACCACTTCTTGGAATCTTCAAGAGTCACAAACCAATGTCAGCTCGAATTGAGAGATGGAGGCTGAGACTGATGCCTTATGACTACGAGCTTATCTACAAACCAGGCAATGACAACCCTGCCGACTTCATGAGTAGACATCCATCGGCAAGTCCTAGTATCGCAGAGAGCTATGTAAACTATATCACAACCAACGCCGTACCTATTGCAATGACACTTCAAAAGATCAAGACCGCCACTAAGACTGACCATGAACTCCAGTCATTGTTGAAAGCAATCGAAACCGACAATTGGACTGATCCAATCGTAAAGCAGTACGCAAACGTTAAGGACGAACTCGCAGCATACAACGGAATGGTACTTAGAGGGGACAGAATCATAATCCCTCACCAGCTCCGAGATAAAGCAGTCGATCTCGCACACGTTGGTCACCGAGGAATTGTGAAAACTAAACAGCTCATACGTGAGAAGGTGTGGTTCCCACACATCGACAAGATGGTAAAAGACAAAGTCGAGAAATGTCTGTCATGTCAAGCTGCGACAGGACCAAGCAACCAGTCTCGCATCGAACCGCTAAAGATGACTCCACTTCCCCAAGGACCCTGGAAGGAGGTAGCACTTGACTTCACAGGACCTTTTCCTTCTGGCGAATACCTTCTTGTCGTGATAGACGAGTACAGTCGCTTCCCCGATGTCGAGCTGATCACCACTACATCGSCAAGAGCGACGATACCAAAACTCGATGCCATCTTCTCGAGACAAGGCATACCAGAAATCGTTAAGAGAGACAATGGCCCGCCCTTCAATGGGAAAGACTTTGCAAACTACGCAGAATACGCAGGATTCCATCACCAAAAGATCACCCCAATCTGACCGCAAGCTAATGGTGAAGCTGAACGCTTCATGAGGAACCTCAGCAAGTGCATATCCATAGCGCACATGGAAGGCAAAAACTGGAAGCAGGAAGTATTCAAATTCTTGAGGCAATACAGAGCCACACCCCACTCAACAACGAAAGCATCCCCGTGTGAAGCACTGAACAACAGAAAGATGAGCATAACACTGCCAGAGATAACTCCTGTCTTCAAAGCCGCACAGAAACCCGACGACATGAGAGAACGAGCAGAAGAAAAAGATGAAAGAGTATACAGATCTGAGACGCAGAGTGCAAAGTTAAACCGGGTCAGACAGTTATCGTCAGACAGTCCCAAGCCTATTGTTGTGATTCAATTCAATATTAGACTTTATTGCTTGTAATTTCGGTTCATTCGATTCAGGTCKGGTCGGGTCGAGTCGTGTCTTTTTACCTACTTCACAATATTCTTCACTTGAATTTATATGATACACTTATGTTTACATAGAGTGATGCAATCGGTTGCATCACTCACGCTTATATGTCAAAACTATGTGATAATGCATGCGAGACTAAACATAGCCCCCGCCTTGAAGCACTATAGCTTCGAAAAACAAAATAATACAAAAAATGAAATGTTCTCAAAGTTCAATGTTCAATAATATTATACGATAAATGTTCAATTATTCATCTTCTAGAATCAACACCAATTTTGATATCGGTCTGGTATAAGTTCCA